CGTTTAAAAAATACCTATAATGTTTTCCTAACTTATCATGGCGCATTTTATTGCTTAATTAATTTTAAAAATCAGCACATATAAATTACTTTAGTTGTTTAGACCACAATGTCTTATATTTTGGTATTATTTTTGAATAATTAAACAGCATTGCCATTGCCTAACAAAGCCAAAATTATTTACCTAATTATAACTGTCCATTTTGGTGTTTAAATATATATAATATTAAGTGCACATCAATTAGTTTAGTGAGCATTTTAAATTTCCTATAAATTGGTATAATTCTATTTACTAAACAAAGCAGACTAAATAATAAATCTTTTCAATTTAGATTTAATTTTACACCACTTGAAACATAAATTAATTTGGCAGGCCCAATTGAGTTTATTGTTTTATACAAATTTATATTTATGAGCTGAAATCAATAAAGCAATGGCAATACCCGTTGAAAAAGTATAATTTGAGGGATGGACGGGCACTGAAGAGCTTAATGGAATATTCGCGTACAGGTGCCACGCCTTGAATGTTGCTGCAGTTGGTTAAACTTCCGGCTGCTTCATACGGATTAAAATGCCGTTAAAGTATTTGTCCCCGTTCGGTAGACTGTCTCAGTTTTTACCTCGGCTGATAAGCCGATATCAATACAGCGCACTAAATTGCGAAGGCAACTGCAGCGCCAATAAATTTCGTTCTTTCACATTTCATTTATCATGTTTGACTCGGTTGGAAATGAATAATGTGCAGCGAGCATCGATATGAAATGCCAAATGAGCACTGAACATCAAGGGCCAATGCAATTACGTCAGTTGGGTTGTTTAATTCCCTGAGTAATATGTTTAAGGGAATATGGGAATGACGAAGGTATGGAAATTTAAAGTCTCATGACATACAATTAAAGATTAATTAATTTAGCACATTTTCATTTTCCATTTTCCTTCTATTGAAAGACTTCATAATCTATTACATTGCACAGTTTAAATTAAATTCTTTAATCAACTCGAAGCGTTAAGCAAACAAGTTAAATTCCTCAATTATTGGCTGAACTATTTTTAAGCTCCGATGTCCTCGACACAGTTTTCGGCTAAAATCCGAGAGCCAAAATCTGAGAGAGAAATTCTGCCATGGCGACAATTCATTTGACAGTCACGAAATCAATTGGAAAAGTGAATAAATAGAAAGTGGGAAACGAAATCAAGCTGCATAAATTATCGAAAAATCAGATCAGCAAATTGGAACAATTGAGTGTCACGGCAAATTCCCAGGAACTGTCAATTTGGCCGAGCCTCAAATGGAGTTCCTGTGTGGCCTTGTGTAAGTGCTTCCCCAATGAAATTTCCGTCCTTTGCTTTCCATTTTTTTTTCGCTATTTTGGCACTTTCTTTTCGCTACAAATGCAGTTGCCTGCTTTCACCGGCTGCACTCGGTGCGAAATGGTGTTTTGCAAATGGCTCGTGAAATCAGACAGATGCCAGATGCCTTACTTTTTAAATAAAAGCCTTGCCAGTTTTTCTCATGGTGGACTCCGCTCTAAATTGCAGTTTATTTGCGGTTTGTTGATTTTATTGCACAACTTTGTTTACAATTCTGCTAAAATTTCATTACACGATCCCTGCCGAAAGGAACTGGGCCAAGGGAAAAGAGATTTGCGGGTTGGATTGAAAATGAATGCCAAAACCTTGATATGAATTAATATTTGAGCAGAGCTGCCAAGTGGAGCAGACATCTAAAGGGATTGGGTGTGCGGTGTTGTGGGGGAGTGGTAAAGTTTGACCGAGGCAAATGGACATTGGTTTGCATGCAACGGACATCGGTTAAGTGGGTCAACTCGGGCGATTGATTGGCGAGTTTGGCTCTCGGTAAATATTAAATTTGAAAAATGCATTAAAAGAGCGTAACTATTCAATCGCAGTGTGGGATATCTTATTAATTCCTTGGAAAATACTTGCAAACATTCAGACAATCATTCAGCCAAGGCAAAGGTTAAGACAACCGAAAGGCAGCAGCACACAAAGGCAGCAAACAATAAACTGAGGCAAAACCCAAAACGCCAGCGAAAACACGAAGCATGAAAAATCAAAACAAATAAGCCAACAGGCAGGCAAACAAAGTGCCAAGCAAATTAAATAAAATAAAAACAAACAAAGCAATGTGGACCGGGCCAAAAACGGAGGAGCCACCAGAAGAGGGGGCACAAGGATACACATGCACAGAGACAGTGTACACTGGATGCTGGATACTGGATACTGGAGCAGGCCACTTAGATGTCGGTTGACACAGCCACAGGAAGCGATTGAGTGTGTGTTTTTGTTTGTGATAAAAATGAAGCAATTGAAAGAGCGCCAGGACGAGCCCGTGCCCGCGACAAATGGGCGAAAGCCACTGACTGAGAACTGAGCCGGAATAAGATGCTAGTAGAGTGGGCAAATTAATTAGCCTTCCGCTTAGACTTAACTCTAGTTAGAATTTTTCATTCGATTAAAGTGTGGAAACTAATCGGAAATAATCAGGTTCAATTAGATCTGTATACTTTTCTTTAGGTCAAGCACTTGCTTTAAAATATTAAGTAGTGAAAAAAAGTAAGTAACTGATTCCTAATAATAATAAGAATAAAATATTAAAGTTCAAAAACTATAAAAGCATCCATTATTTTGTATTGAAAAAAAGTATAGGAACTAAAACTCAAAAATTCCAAAGAACATTAAGATTGATCGTACAAATTAGCAAAAAAAAATGTGGGTTGACTATAATGCATTTCCATTAAAGCCCATGGCTTATTTCTAAACTCTAAAACAATTTAATTAAAATAAGTGCGTGCTTATGAGATTTACAACAAAAAAATTGCGTATACGTATAGGAGTACACGACTGCCTGGGTTGGCTTAGCTGGATAATCAAAAATGTAAATCAGGCATAAACAGTGCTTTTGTTTGGTGCAAGATCTACCCTTTGGTTTTTTGGGTGCGGCAGGAATGGGGAGGGGCTTGGGGAGTGGAGCGGAGCGGATGCATATCTTGCGGCCGCAGCCCGTCTGCACCGTGCTGCGTTCCCGGCGCAAATACTGGCATTATCGGCAGCCTTCATTCATGGATACCAACCGATGGCAGAAGAGCGAGAGAAATGTGAGCAGGGAAGGCCGAGCAGGTCCTGTGCCTCTTTTGTCCTTCGTCCAATTTGCTGTCGGGTGCGCGACCCGAAAAGGTTTGGGAGCCACTGGAAGGACGGACAGGGATAACTGCAATGGAAGGCTCCGAAGAGCTTAAAGCTCGGCTGAAAGAGGTCCTTAAGAGACACAGCTGCCCATAAGTGTCTTGGCCCGAAGAGAGCAGTGAAATGACTGGGATAGAACCAATATTAACGCTTTGCAGCATCCTTCGCTCTCACTTTCTCCGCTTCCTGCCCCTTTCGCTCTCTTTTTCTCGCTCTGCGGGTGCCCTGTAGTTTTGCGTTTGTAAAAGCCATTTTTCATTCATACGAACTTACTTTAAATTAATTTTTTTGTGGGGTCATAAATCATTTTTGGCTCTGGACCTACGCATGCTGCGTCTGTATGGGTGCATGCTGTCGGTGTGTTCGTGTGTCCGTGTAATCCCACATTGGTATGGGTGTAAGCTCTTGTACCGTGTATTTGGCGTTGCGTGTATGAATGAATGTGCTCCATGTATTGGCAAGACTTTCAAATTAGTTTCGATTGAATTGATGAAGGTGAGAATAGGCAGCAGTAGGTCAAGCTAGCTAGATGGCAGTATGTTGAAAACACAGAAGCGAGCTTATGGCTTCAAGGGTGTGTGGGTTATAAATGAATTCAAATTGTGTGAATATTATTAATGACCCAGACATTAACGCTATTCCTAAAAAAAAATGTTATATGCCTAACAAAACCATTTTCTTTTATAAAAAAACTTTTTACTTTTAATGTATTTAAATAGATTAGAAAGCTGCTTAAAAGAAAATTATAAATAAATATATCTCTTGACTTGATAGAATATTTATTTCTGAATTTACGCCTGGCTTGATTATTAGGTTTAATTAATTTTTAAATAAATCCAAATATTTCTTAGAAAAAGGTATTATCCATTTTGATTGGGTGTAACATTGTGAAACGGGTTATATTCTAGACGTCATAAAAATAATGTTAGCATTTACTAATTCTTAAGACTTAGAGCATTTTTCTAACACTCAAAGACTTACCACTGTGTTCCTTAAGCCCTATAACATTTGTATGCTACATCCTGTTTTTTGCATAGAAAATGCCCTGACATCTTGAGTTGACCACGCACACCTACCAATGCAATGGGCATCGACAGGATGTGAGCGCCCCCACTCTGCATACACGCATAGGTGGGGGGCTAACCAACACAAGTGCAGCGAGGGCGCACATCCTGGCGCTCTCTTACAGCCTCCGAGGAAAGCTCTGCGGGAAGAGCTTGAAAGCTGTTGCCAGAGCCACACGCACACACGGTCAAAGCGAAGGCCTTCCAGGCTCCGTGGAGTCACGAGTCCTGACGGCTGGCAAGGACTCGTGGCATGGCAAAGGTATGTGAATATGTATTTATGTTCCAGCCCGTTCACATCGGCATCGCATCCCCAAGCGGCGCTCGGATTTCAAACTTCTGCACAAGGATGTGTCGTGGGATGTGCCGACGAAGCTTGCGCTCGGCTCCTCCAAAGGACTCTGCAGTCACTTCCAGCGCCGCCTGGCTGGCAATGCTGCACAGGCATCGGACTCAGTTGGTGTTCCGGTTTCGGGTTGTGCTGTCAGTTGCCTTTTGCCTCCATGCACAGCGGCTGAGCGATTGAACGATTGAACGGTTGGACGGTTGGTTGAGCGGTGGAGCCGTTGAGAGTGTGCTAACGGAGCTGGAGAGCTTAGCCGCGCTGCCCGTGGTCTGTGTCTGCGTCTGTGTCCGTGTCCGTGCGTATCTCCGTGCGTGTGCGTCTCTCTCCGAGTGTGTGTGCGTGTGCCTGTGCGTGTGTGTGCCTGTTGTCTGTCGCTAACGGTGCGCGCGCTGTGTGTGTGTGTGCACAACAATACTATACATATATATATATATATCTATATATATATATATATACCAATACAAGTGTGACCGCACTCACACACGGCAAGCAGATAATTTATTTCAAATATGTACAATAATTCCGGCAGGTAAACCCATTCAGCAACTACTCAGGAATCTATATACATTGTCATTCCTATTTCTTCTGGAGCAAAAAAAAACATAAACGTCTAAAGTATCCTTTCTTTTTGCTCTCTTTTGTAAGCCTCTCTCTGGCCCAGAGCTCGTATATGTGTGTGTGCGTGTGTTTGGGAAAATTCCATCATCATCAGCATCGGTTTAACCATTATCATTCACGTTATAGCTGTACACATATTTTCGTACATCCTTCCTGCCAACCTCTATTCTATTTTTATTTTTATGCTACCGATTTTGACATTTCTATTACTTTAGAATTGTCTGCCAAGGAAGTGTGAGTGCGATTTGCTAATTGGCCATCAGGCCATCAATATATTCAAAATGGAAAGTATCTTTCAGATACATGTCAAGTGCAACTCTCTCGCTCTCTTTCGTTTATCATCGCTCTCTGTCTCCATTTACATGTGGGTGTGTGTGTCTGTATAACAGGTGCCAAAAAATAAATGGCAATGGTTACTTTTATGTTCACATTGTGTGGGCGGATGGCTGTGGGAAAGCGGGTACGAATGAATAAAACCGAATGATATTCTGGGCCATTATCAACAAGTGAGAAACGCGTGATTATTGCTCATTGAATAATATATGGTTAATTTCATTAACTTAATTAAATGTTATTCTCCTCCACTTTGTAGCCGTCGACACGCATAACACAGGCAATGGATGGCAGAACTAAAACTGGATAACTGCATAAACAAATATAAATACAATACATTAAACTAAGCAATATTTAATTTTGTTGAAAATTTAAAAGTGGCGGAAATAAACATCAACCAGTGAAAATTCTATAATCGTTGAACTCGCGAACACATAAAACCATGACTAAAGCAATTTGTAATTATAACAAAGACAAATCGAACGGAAAATGGTAGTTAATAATAACGTTAACAATAATAACGATGTTGCAAAACTCTAAAGTAAACATTTTAAGCCAGTTGTAAATATTAATACATACATTAATACGTCATACATCATATAAAAGTATACATACCTAAATTCATAGCACGCAATGACAAAACAATTTTAATATCCATAAAAAAAAGAACAAAAGCAAACCATAGCATATATTACCTTGAATAAGAAGTGTTCTATTATATAGAAAACTCATTTATAAGTGATGTTTAAATTCGATAAGCAACTGAAACGCGCACAAGATTGATACAAATTTTAAATAATAAAACGTTTAAGCATAAGGACAACCCCAAGAGAACTACAGCTCAATTGGCTAAAGAATACAAACGGGATAATTTGGAAATTCCTTGAAGATCTTCGATTTACTGAAATTGAATTATTCGATTCAACTCGATACAACATACGCATATTTCAATAATCGCATCTAACTAAATAATAATCATTACTGAACTAAAATTAATTGCATTAACTTCATTACTTATCAAACCAAAAATCTGGAAGAAAAATTTAATAAAAAAGGTTGAGGAATTGTTATAAAACAACGGAAGCAAAAAATCAAGCAAGTTTAACACACAAATCAGTAAACGGAATAAATCTACAAACAATTATTCCACACGATCAGCTCAATCCTTATATGCCAATTGGAAACAATTTTGATTGCATAAAAAAAAGAAAAGGAATATATAGGTGAGTCATTCCTGAAAAATTATTACCAAAATATTTTTTCTTCAAATAATTAATGTTATATAGTTAACAATGTTTGGTATTTGGGTATAGTAAGTAAGCATAAGGGAAATAGATTTATTAATTGTACCAATAATGAGCTAATTAGTTTATTTTAATTATTTCTTTAGAAATTTCGTTATACTAGGTAATTTTGATACATTACATTTATCTTCAATTTGGGTCGAAAGAGGTTTAAAAATCCGACAATTACAATTACAATTCATTGTAAATTAAGATAAGCCATAGTCGAAAAGACTTTTAAGTTGGTACAACGACCGTGGGGAGAGAGTATCTCTATTAGTCGAGGTACTCGCCTATTGAGTAATTTCTTGATTTGATTTATTGTTCTGTATGGATTTTTCTTTGAGTTTGTAAACCATTCTTTGGATTCACGCCCCTAAAATTCGCCATTGTCACAGAGAGCGTTCGTACACCCAACGCCTTAGCCGCAGGCATTATTTCAGCTTTCTCCATGTTCGTGTACCCAGTTGGACTTGATTTGCTTTTTTGTTTCACTTCTCGGGCAAGCATTTTAAAATTGTTCCATTGACCTTTCGACGACCACACAGCCACATTCAAATACTCAGCTGGCAAGTAGGTGGGTGGCCAGATGAGGGGGTGGCTATGGGTGGTGGGTGGTGCGTGGGTGTGGGTGTGGTGTTCCGGAGCAATGCCCAAAAGCAAACAGAGCAGCAGCCACTCGGAGGACAATAAAAAGCAGAGCACAATTGCCAAATAAATAACTTGACGCTCGCTCCGTCGACGGCTTATTTGCTCTGGTGCCGTGGTTTTTGGGCTTTGGCTTGATTTTCATTTTCATTTTGGGAAAGCACACACAGGCGCACACGCATTTAGAAGGCACTGTTGCATATTAAAAGTGCTCCGGCTTCCTGTTTTGTTTTCATCTTTTGCACTCGCTGCTCATTTTGGCCTGGCTCTTTTTCATTAATAATATGACACAATTCGCGCTGCATTGTCTCGAGCTGGTGGAAGCGCCCAAGAGCACTTTCGGCTTTGCCGCCTCCTTACGCTCATTATGCCCATTTGAGGCTTTGTCTTCGTCTTCGGCGTAACAGCCAGCCCAGACCCAGACCCATTCTGGCCCAGGCAGCAGCCAGCGTCTTTAGCCATTTCTTTCATCATTCATTCATGCAGACTCCCAAGCACACACACCCACCCGCCAGCAAATCCAAGTGCAAACAGCAGGGCAGTTAGATGAAAATTGCAGCTGTGGGTGAGTCTGTGGCAAATACCCTGGAAATACCTATGAACGGGTATGGAAAACGATACCAAATCCATCTGGCATTTGTTCAGTGTCATTATTGGTTTTTTAGCCAAGCAAATGTTTCTAAAAATAGGCAGCAATGGCTGATTTATTAGGCGCAAGTGCTGATCAAAAGCAAAATATAAGTTCCTAGTTAGTTTATTTTCATTTAAATGACTTGTTTTTAAAAATTCTTTAATTAGTAAATTATGGCTTAACAAATAGTATAAGGTTAGTATGTTAAAAAATCACAGAAATTAAAAAGCATTTAAAGCTACACATTTATTTAAATTCTATTAATTCAAAAATTCCTTCAAACACATTTGTATATTTTACCTAAAGTATTAAATTTAATAAAGACATTTATTTGTGAAATGGAAACCATTGGCATTGTCCTGCTACATCACCTCATATATATTCTTTAAATAGTTTAGCTTGGCCAAATATTTAAATGCGTTTGAAAGTGAAAGCCGCAATTGTGTTGTCCTTGGACCAGTGCCATTTGGAAAGAGTATCCCCGAAAGTAATTCACTTCGCGCTGCCCGCCTCGCAGCCCCTTGCGTTTGCCGACGATGTCCTTAATTATGTGCCAGCAGCCCTGACTGACTGCCACACTGCCACAGTGACTGCTCAAAGGACACCCAGCCTCTCACACACTAATGCACACCCACACACACTAACACACAGGGACATAGGCGTTGTCAGGATGTTGGCACTCGCAGTAGCAGTCGCGACTGTTACGTGGCGCTCGTGTCATGTTGGACTCCGGGTCTCGGGTTTCAGAGTCCTTGTTGCGCTTGTTTTTATCGCCCTTGTTTGGCCGTTGTTGATGAGTGTCGTTGTTGTTGCTGCTGTTGTTGTTGTTGTTGTTGTTGGCCGCTTTTGAAGAGCGCTCTTCTAGTGGGTGTCATGTCCGCTTAGTTGTTGCTCCTGCTCCTGCTCCTTTTCGTCCTGCTGTTTGCCGCCGTGCTTTGAGGCGACGCCGCTTTGCCTACTACTTATTTATGTATGAAGGACCTTAAACTTTGCAGCGGATGAAAATGGCCGCAGCCCGGAGAGAGATGAGGAACTGGAGCCCATGAACCAAATTATATACACACACAACAACTATATACTATATATAAGTGTGCAGATACAACAAATGGCGTCGCTACTTTTTTAATCACAGCCGGCGACGCAGTTTTCAGTTTCACTTTCCCATTTGCAAAGTTTCTCACGTGTGTCCCCCCCAACCAGTCCTTCTCTCCTTGGTGCCCTTTTTTTGCTTTTTTTTGTCATCCTAGTGGGGCCAACTGGCAGCTGGCAAGTCCAACGCACAAAAGCTGACAAACAATGCTCACTTTTCTGTTGGACTTCCCCCTTAGCTTTCTGCGCTTGTTCTATTAACCTTCGCTACGCGGATGAAAAAGAGATTTAAGGTTAACAATTCTCGTGTTTTTTTCAATTTTGGACCACTTAATATTAGCCGAAACTAGGCCAGTGCAGAGGTTGGTAAATATTAATAGAAATATAGATATAGATAGTTGGAGAAGGCAAAAGGTCGGCCTACTTGTCAAGATGTAGATGTCCACGCTAAAATAAGAAAGCTTAAATGGTTTAAACCATTTCACTCATGGCTTGAAAAGATGTCTTACAATTAAGTAAATAAATTTAAAAGCTCAAAGAAATTAATTTATGAGGATACTATGTAGCATTTTTTTTTACAGTTGCTTAATATTAAACGGTCTACAAACATTATAGAAATGTGTGGAAGTTCCTGTTTGATTAAGCAATGAAATTTTTTAAATGTTATGGTACTTAGAATATGTGAATTGATATGATATGATAGGGGGTACCACAGAAATCCCCAAGGCTTTGTAGTAATTTTTATAATTGCCTGAAAGTATGCAATGAAAAATAGGAAATGTCTTTCATAATAAATCCCTTGAACGCCCAGTCTGAATATTTATTTTATAATATATGTGCATTCGTTAGGTTTCCTAATTCTTTCGGCTAAGTCCGGTATCAACTTGGCAGCACTGGCTGTGGCCGCATATAGATTTCATAGACCTGACACCCATATTGGCAAAAACTTTCCTCGGCTGTCATAATTTGTGAAATTTTAGTGCTCATTCGAGGATTTGTCTGCTAATCTATAATTAAAATTATTGTCGTATCATTCGGGAGCTGGAAACTTTCGTGCGACCAAAACTTTTGCCCGTAGAGTAAGAGGATGGGGGATGGGTGATGGGGAAGGAGGGCTTAGGTGCTGAGAGAGGCTTAGCCATGAAATGCCCTAACATGCTGCCAGTTAAACTGTCCATAGCAAACGAACTCCCGACCCAGCCAGCTTAACCCGAACTGATTCGGAGGCAGCTACGTGCCTGTGCATTTGAGCAGCAGATGTCACCCGGGCTGGGCCCAAAGTTTTTGGGGCCACCCAAGCAACTTAGATAATTTAACTGTGCCACGGAAGGGAGCACCTGACTTCCTTGAACGTTTTTTTGGGGGGACAGGGGGTTTACCTACGTGAGATAATGCAAATTTATGGCTGGCAATTAGCGAGTCGCGAATCGCAGCCGAAGCTGGGCAATAATTCACGGGTGCCCTCAACTTTGACTAGTCCCCGGGCCTAATTGCAGTTGCCGACGTGAGAAATCTCGGCCAGAAGTGAAGCTGGATGGGTTTCCATTTCGATCCGTTTCGGGAGACAATGACAAACCAAAATCCAGTTAGCGAAACCCAGTAAACCATTAATTATCTTAGGCGGCGCCTCGCATATGTGAAACGCGATGTGGGCTGTGGGCTGTGGGCAACTGGCGGCTACAAAAGAAGATACAGATATACGCCGCCAGAAGATACAGATACGGGCTGACTGTCAGTGGCAAGTGGCACATGCCGTCTATCTGTTATCCAACAGCTACACTTTGCACACCCAGAACAACAACAGGCAGCACACCAGCACACCAACACTCCCAAAAGAAGACCGTCGTGCCATATCTGAATCTGTAAATGTGTCTGTGAGATACTCACACACACACACACACACACACACACACACACACACACAGACTCGAGAAAAAGGCATCAGTTGCAATCTGACTTCAATTCAATTATTTTAGATTAGAATGTGACTGTGTCACACACACTTTTGTCTCTATGTCAGCTGTCATTCATCCGTTCATATGCTCCATAAAGGCAGCCCGCGGGGCGGAGAAGCTGGAGCGTTTTGCGGCGCAGGATACGTGCCCTATACGCCGTCTGTTCCTGCATTGACAGTTGCCCATACATATATATATATATATGGCCACATATATGCTTGTACACTTCGCATATATACACACTGGGATATGGGCTTTCGGGCTCTCTGTGAATGTGCTCAACAAAACATTGTCCCAGAGATCCCGACTCGAAACGAGCGTGACAAAAGTAACAAATGTGCGACTGCCGCAAGCCCAATGACGTCAGGCTTCCTGGGCCCTAGAATATATTCAAGTGCCTCAAACATTTATGTGTTTCATCCTGCCAAATTGATTTGCGCTCTGCCAAAGCGGAGTAAGCCAATGAGTGACCTTTTAAACGCTTGGGGATCATATTTCAATTGGGGTAATTGATTGACCGATTTTTGTGCGCAGTTAATTATAAAAGCATCGTATGCATACTGATTTTAAAATTGCATGTGATAATATTAAAATGCCTCCTAGGGTAATCAAATAAG